ACAGTATGCCTACGACAGAGACAAAGTAAATTCTCATTTGTTCCGAAGAGCAAACTAGACTTTTACCATTTTTTGAATTTCTTCATTCTTGATTGAACTACTGTGCTTTCGCTTTCGAAAAGATTTCACTTTGCTAATAATTAAAGGAAATATCTCTTCTTGACAACTTATACGAGATTTGCAGGGTCCATATGTTTTTGGTTTAGATCCTGTTTGGAATTTGGCAGAAAATCGGCTAACATTTACAAATTCAATGAAAATGAAAGCATCCATTGTTTTTGGCATCATACAAATGACGTTTGGTGTTATACTGAGCTTAATGAATTTCTTGTTTGTTTCGGTTCTTTTAGTCGTTGTGTTTAAAGGACATATGGTACAACAGTTATGGAGAAAATTAAGTTATTCAAATTAAATTAACAAAAAAAAATTAAAATTAAATTAGTGGTAAAAACTGATGTGCATAATTTTGCAGGTATTTTCGATCAACAATTGATATTTACTTCACATTTATTCCACAGATTTTGTTTCTATCCTGTGTGCTGATTTATCTATGTATTCAGGTAAAGTTTATATTTTCACTCAATGGTTCTCTGATTTTGAGAAATGTAAAAAAATTTGGTAATACTTTTACTTTTCTTTCTTCTTGTAGGTTTATTTATTCATCTATATATATATATATATATATATATATTATTCTTTCTTGTAGGTTCATTTATTCAGTCGAGAGATTTTGTCTAATTCTTCTCACGAAATTTCTAAAAAAAAATACCTTAAATAAACAGCTATATGTGAGGGTAACAGACAGATATCATCTCTTTTATAGATAACGGTTAAGTGGTTGATGTTCAGCTCCATACCGGGTAATGTTTTCGGCTTCTTTTATCCAGGATCACATTGCGCTCCATCACTTCTGATCGGATTAATCAACATGTGCATGCTAAAACCACGGAAGGAAGGTTTCTGGAATCGATCTTCATCTAGCGAGTTCGAGCAATGTTATTTACACGAATGGTATCCAAATCAGGTAATAAAGTTATTATAGTGATATATAATGAATCAAAAATAATGTATGGTTCTTGAGCTTCTTAACATGGTCAGTCGAATTCATAAAATACGGAAAGAAAATACCGTAATTTGAAATTAAGACTGTAGAATGCAAAAAAAAAAAATTATTTGTTCGGTTCCATCGCACTGAAGTCATTCTAACTTTGTAGTGTAGGAATTATTCATATCAGTTTCCAGTTACTCTTCCGATAGAATTTATCCTAACAATATTTTCATTTTTAAAAAACGAAAATCAAAAAGTTCGAATCATATGACTGCAGGGTATGGTCGAGAAAGGTCTTTTAATGCTGACTGTACTTTGCATACCAGTAATGCTTTTAGTGAAACCTATTTACCTAAAATTTAAACCTCAGAAAATCGGACATGACGAAGTTGCCAACACTGATACCTATGCAGTGAAGGTTGGTTCGAAAACTATCCTACTCATTTGCACTGCAGAAATCATCTCATTTTTTCAATGGCGTATATTTTTCTTTATTTTATTATGAGCACATGAATATCCAATACTTTGAAATATACAGCAAAGGGTTACAAGAGAGTTGCTTTGCTACATTTAATTCCTTTAATGAATTTCGGGATTTGGTGGAAAATTTTTCACTCTTATGTGAATCATAATAATTTACAGTTTGATTTTATGGATGTTATGATGTACCAAGGAATTCATACGATTGAATTCGTACTTGGATGCATATCACATACTGCCTCTTATCTTCGCCTTTGGGCACTTTCTTTGGCTCATGCGCGTAAGTATTTCGTAATTCACTTTCATCTAATTTCAAAATCTTTTCTGAATCAAACAAAAATTCAAACTTAACTGGAAGGTTCTCGGAATTCAAGGGAAAGAAAAGTTTATTTAATTGTAATTCCAGAGCTTTCTGAAGTTCTGTGGTCAATGGTGCTTAGTATGGCCTTTTCATTGAATACTTGGTTAGGTGGTCCAGTGTTGTATCTTGTATTTTGGCTCTACGGAATGCTCACATTTGCTATATTGATATTAATGGAAGGACTTTCTACTTTCTTGCATGTGTTACGACTACATTGGTACTGCTTAAATTACCAACAATTTTTAGATTCCGGAATTAGCTGCGACCACTATTTTGTATAGGATGTCTGAACATATATATTTTAAGTGTTATTTAACTATTTTATATGCATTTCTGAAAATTGATTTTCCTACGAATTATTTTTTTCAAAAAAACTTCATTGCAGGGTTGAATTTCAAAGCAAATTCTATGACGGTCATGGATATTCGTTTAAACCCTTTGCATTTACCCAAATGAAATCCTTTGAAATTGCTAATAAGAAAGATAAAAATGTAATTTGTTAATTTCTTATGCATCTCATGAAATAATAAAGTTAATATGAAAAGTTATTTTCTCTAAATCAGCTAAACGACTGAAGCAGCATTTATAAGCAAAGTTGCAGTAAACCACAGCAGATGTGATCACAACTTGATATAATTAAAAGCAGTGCAGTGAAAATAATGGGCTATAATGTTCATGATATTGAAATGTAATGCAAAGTTAAATGGAGAAGGAGGTGATGGTTGCACAAAACAGGACAATTTAAGCGGTTATTTCAGTTGTATTTCCAAGAACAAAAATTCAAAGTAATTAGCCGCCTAAATTTATGTTTAAATCAGTAATTACAAAATTTAAATTTTCGAAAAATATGAGAAAGTCAAAATCTAGAATGTAAATGATTGAGAGATTCAGCATCATATGGGTCGAGGACTAAATATGTTTCAAAATTTATTGAAACAAAACATGAAAATCAGTTACTGTGCCTTCATGTTCTCTAACGACTGCATGATAACACTTAGTATTTAAGTTTTGAAATTTATCTGAGATGTATTTTGCATTTCTATAATCTGAGAGACGGTCTTTCTTTAAACAAACTTGCAAGTATCTGTTGCAGTGAGTTCTTATTTCCAACATACAATTGCCGTAGTAGGAATTTCTAATGAATAATAACAAAGAATTTTAACTAGTCAGATACTATAAAAACCATATGAGCGGCACGAGTGAATTATGCAATTATCCATATTTTTCCAGAATCTTTCCAGAATTATTATTTGCAAAGGTCACCAGCTCAAACAAATAATATCATAATTGTGAATACAGTTCTGATTGAAAAACTACTGGAATAAAATAAATTTGTGATGTCGAATAAAACATTGCAAATCATTGCAGCTAGCTACAATTACCTTCTTATTCGATTTAAGCTAAAATCAGTTGATTTTTATGAGGATTTATTATTGCATTTACCAAATAAACGAAGGAAATAAGATATGACAACTGCGCCGACACAGAAAAGAGAACCAGCATTATCTGTAGATCCAGAAACGGCAGTTTTTCTTGCGAATGGCGGGAAATCAGAACATATGCTTGTTAACATAAGTGAAAAGCGACTTGCTGTAAAAGTGGGGATCGTTTATTGTTTATATCCGTTTGACAAATAAGACTTGAAGTAGAAAGGAGAAGAATGTATATGTTAGTGTGGGTAAAAGGTATCTAAAATATTCATAAATGCTACTGCCATGTCATTAGAAAATAATGAGAACTTAGTTGGCTTTCAAGTTAATTCTTGTATTATTAAAAGTTACATCACTCTCAAGGCTAACATATAGTAAATGACAACGACTAATGACATTTCAGGAGTGATAATCTTAAATATATAATTGCAGGTACGTTGTAGCGATAACAACTTGTTCCGAGTAAGCCCAGTTTACATGTTCATTGAGCCAGGTTCATGTGGTAATATTGTGATAACAAGACTGCCTGGTATTTCAATTCATTGATTTATAAAATCCAAAATAAATTTCTACGTAAAGGAGTGATAGGATTATGCGGTCCAGAAAAGAAAGCATCAACAAAGCAGGAATAGTCAATGAAGTTGCAGTTTTGTCTTAACATTTGTGCTGGGATGCAACATTCTTCTTCTTTGATTCTTGATCATTACAGGAATTCAAAATAAGATCTTTAAAATAATAGTTCATAAATAGCTGCAAACAAATCATATTTTATGGGATTAATTTTGAGAAAAAGGAAAAACGATCATGAAATTAATTTCTATTATATAAATACATACAATCATGTTAAATGCCTATACCTGTTTACAGGTCCAGCAAAATCTGATAAATTAGTATTCCATTACTTCGTTTGTGAGCCAAATGATTTGGAACCAAAAGAAATATTTAAAATAAATTCACAAAGGTCACCAGAAATGCTGAAGATGCCAATAAATATCATTTCTGCCGAAGATGTTCCTAAAGTGAGACTAAAACATGAACTACTACATTTCAAATTTATCCACTGCTTAAGTCTCTTTTCCTTGTCCAAACTACATTTGTGCAACCATACTTTTTGGCATTCAACCGACAAAACACTGGTCGGAACGATTTGTAATTTGATAATTTATTCTGAAACCGCGCACATTAGCACCACAGCAGTGCGTTATTGCAAATCAACACTTATTATTAACAGTTGTTGCAAACGAAAGGAAGTAAATATTTAGGAAATTATAGAAGATAAGTTGTACAATTATAGAACTTGATTTGCACATATTATTTATTCAGATTGGACAATCACCAGCAACTTCGAATCAACACTGATTAGTGGGAATATGAGTTGCAAAGGAGAAAATTAGCAGAGGTGAAAATGAAAATTACAAGTTATGATACTTTGCCGTAAATTTGGTATTTCAGTTAATCAACATTTCATCTCTACATATTAAAATACTTTTGTCTTGTCTTGCAGTAGCAGTACTGAGGTGCTAAGCCATTAATCCATTACAGTCGTGCAGCTTCAAATTCCAATAATATTTTATTCCAAAGGTAAATGAAATGATAAAGTCACTGGATATTTTTATCCGTAAGCGGAAACTTGCTTGATTAGAATATATTCCATTTTTTGATCCGAATTTATAGATAGTACTCACCGCTCCAACGTAACGCAATCCAGAGCCAAATACAATGACGTCAGAGTGGCGTATACGAATTGAATAGTAAATATTGACAGAACAGTAGAAAATAACGCGCAATAAACGAACAATAAAATGGCGAACTCATTCCACACTCGTTTCATGCAATCAATCCACATGGTCAATAAACATACAATTTTGTCAAATGAAATAATACGTGAGGTCCACTGTGGGATACTTTGTTTTGTTGGCATAATGTAAGGGTATTTCTAAAAAAATAAAATCATTTTATGTGATAGGACAAAGGAATAAGAAATTCTGGAAAAAAAACAAAGTGCTCCCTTACCAATTTTCCTCAGAAGGGAATAGGTGTTTAATTCTACATTGGTGAGCAAAAAGACGGCCAAAAAATAAATCTGTCGTTAGCAAATTAGCATTTACAGTGAAGACAAATGTACATTTACTATTTATAACGGATTGATTTATAGAAGTGAATCATTAGCATTATTCTAGTGTGTAATAAAGGTTTTTCGGTTTTCCAACAAAATCAGTACTTTCTTAATGGTAGTTGGCAGGTAATTATACTAAATTTTTGAAAGATAACGAAACATTTAAAATTGTGAATTAATATGCATTAATAATAACAAATGAAATACCCACACTCTGGTATATGAAATATTTCTAGTTTATTTCAGCACTCCGATGATCTTTGACTTCCATAATTAAACTTGATGTTACAGTCCGACGCGTCACTGACGGAAATGATCAACTTTTGATTTCACGTAATGCATATGCATATGACATGAGTACCTGAGTAAATGATATGAAAAGAAAGAAGACTACGAATTTTTAGTTTTTGATAAGACTGAAATTAAAGTAAATAAATTTACTTGCAGGATCACCAAGAAGCATCACAACTTTAATCACTAATCAGTGAGTTGATAGCAGTATGAACGGTATCCATAAGAAATGAAATCCGGAAATAACCGAAAATTCTTGGCGTGAAGCTATACGCAAATAATATTAAGATCATCACTTGAAACCCTGGTGATCAAAATTTTGTCAAAAAAAATTTCTTCATTGTGATTTATGGAAAAAATCTTTTTATTTAAGATTATACTTAAGCCTTGTTTACTCCGGATAGTTAATGTTTCACTTGCTGAACATTATTTTTGTAATACAACCTTAGTCTTAGCAGAAGTTGGCGCTTTTATTGATATCATTGTCATCTGACTATTTGATTATTTCTGGTGCATGTAAAATCAAAATTTCCAGTTGAACTGATTTTTAATTTAGATTTATAAGGGCAAATGAATCTCTAGACTTCAAATCATGCTGAATGAGCATACTTTTAGATTGTTTTAGTTTTCTTTTTCCTCTTGTCTTATTTATTTTGTTTATTGAGACGAGATAGAATCAATAAATAGGTGATTAACCTGTTGAAATAATTGAACACATGCTACATTAATCAATTCTACTCTGTGAAAGAAAAACTGAGTGTCGTGGTTCGGAATATTTAGTGCTTCCAGTTTTTCACAATCTAAATATATAATAATTAAAAATGCATTCTCTTTATACAGCCTTGATCTTTCTTCCTCCATTTTAGGAAGTTTTAAGCTATTTACTGACGATAAAACTTTACTGAATTGAAAGGATGAATAAGATTTCTACAAGTTGTGCACTGACTTTATGTAAAAAATAAAAATATTTTAAAATATTAAAACAATGAATAGAAGAAATTTATTATAAACATAACTGATCCTAAAACTGTTTGTCTCTCTATGTCAATGCATTTACAATGGCCTTGATGAGGTCACATTTATGAATACATTTCACTAAATATTCCACTACCTTTATCTAAATATAGTAAACAACTTTAAATATTGCGCATACAACAAATAATGAAGCAGCCAAATAAGTTGCGAAATATATTTAAATTCTGAGTATTTCTTCATTTTTTCATTTAAACTATCAATGAAGTCAATGTGGTTGTTATTCAAATATTTTTTTTTTATTGCTGCAGTATGCCATAATTCGAAATGCAACAAAACAAAAGGTAGAAAAGGAGTGACAAGTACTGACATCGGATTCAATTCAACTTGCTATTCGTAGGTTTCTTAACATTACTAGAATTGTTAGAGTTACAAGCATAGTATCACGGTGTAAGATTGACTGGCATAATAAATTGCATTCTTACATTTGATTTTGAAGAATCTATGCGATGACTATCAGTATTCTTTGCTATCTCCTCATCGGTCAGTGCTAACTTTTTGCATAAAATAATTTTTATGCAAAAAATAATTGGGTAATATCTGAAATACTAAATCATTGCAGATTTTTCGGAGAATTCAGAGAAAACGGATCATTCCAGCTCACAGAGCCTCTCACTACTGTTTCGTGTAATCAAGGAGTAAATCATTGTTTTGTGGAAGTTCGTAAGAAAAAAAAAATTAATTTAAGCAAAATTCATCTACAGAGGTAAAGTGAGTGAAGAAACTAAAATCAGGAAAATCCAATTGAAAAAGTCTAATATTAGAACTTTGCTTTGTTTTTTATTGTCCTATCCTGAAATATAAATTAGGTTATGAAAGTGAAAATTTTAATTTAAAACATTATTAATGAGAAGACAAATATTCTAATATGAATTCGAACATTTGTTTTCTCATTAGCGAACATTTTAGTTCCTTGAACTTCATGATTAGAATGCTAAATTTCGATATAATATAAAAAATATCATTGTGTAGACAATATAAGAAATATATTAATTTACAGTTTTATCGTCTTGCTTACTACACTTGGTTTAATGGACAATGTGATAATTCATTTGCTTGTATCTATGAATCCGATTACACATTCAGTAATGGATGTCAAGCGTTAGCATATTATTATATTGTCTCACAATTGTCAACCAATCACTATAAACCGATGTGTAGTCTAGGAAAATGTGTAGTCACTTGATTTGATGAGTAAATGATGCATATGTAAGATTACCTTGCTTTTGATTTAATGAGGAAATGACGACTATTTTATTTTAATATTTTATTTTCACCTTCATTAATTCATAAACTGAAGGAATAAGATTATTGTGCATAATCATCTTTATTAATTGCGCATGTTTGTTATCAGTGATGTCAATCTATCTATATCTTAACAACGCGTTTTATTTCAGGACACTACATGGTGGCGATCGATGTTGCTGTAGTAATAAATTATGTAATTTTGACATAATTTTAAAAGAACGTCCCTGTTTTGCTAAGTATCTACCACAACAGCAAGTTCTGAAAAGTAAAAGTGTACCATTGGAATTATACTGTGGAAAAGTTAAATCGAAATCAAATTAAGAATAAAACCGTTTATAGAAGATCATAATATTGTTATCTGTTTTCAACTTATTCCTATTAGCTTAAAAAATTTTTAACCTAATATTCACCAAACTTGCTAATTATTACAAAAAAAAGGACATATGCAAAGACCAACTTTAGATTTCTGACTTGTTGTTTTTGAATCTTCAAAAATATATTGGGAAAAAAATCAGACAGATGTTTACGAAAACATATATTAATTCTATTCTTACATTTCTTTTAATCCAAAAATAAAAAAAATAATTATAAAAAAAATTTATAATAAAAATAGAAAAAAATAATAAACTTTATCCTAATCTTTCATTGACAAAACATTTCAGATAGGCTAATTTTGTATATATATTAAAGAAGTTACATAAATAAGAAAAGAAATAACAAGTTTTGCAACAGTGTTAATATATCGGCAGGTGCTGGCAGGTTTACTTTTTCTTGACAAAAGAACAACGATTGATTTAGGGCTTTTTGGAAGAGCGCCGATTTGCGGTCTTATCAAGAATGCGTCGCTGGATAGAAATACTAACAAGAAGAATTCATGGTTAGCAACGAGAAAGAATGTACTTTTACTAAATACATACATTACTGATATAAAATCATTGAGGAAAAGTGAGCAGAAGAAAAGAACTTTAGAAGAAATGGAATTTTCGAAAAAGTATCAGAAACGTGAGGTTATAATTTCAATTGGTGCTACTAAGCACCGAAATAAAATTATTGAACATTGTAGTGATGCATATTCGTATTAATTTCCATCCTTAGATGAATGCTATCGTATTTATCAGATTCCCTACAGTAATTTAAATGCTAATTACGATGGTGGTAGAAATGAATTAGCTTACGGTACGAGTGCATAATTGCTGGGAGATCTATCATGGGAAGTTGCTCGATGTTGAGGAAGTGGCCATAAAAGAGAAAATGGATTTGGTGAAAAAGATAGCACACAATTTTATTATACCACAGGACAATATGATGCTATTCGAGTGGGCTTCATGATCAATAGAAATTATGAAATGATGACTCAAAATTGGACTTTTACGACATGCTGGATGGCATCTATGTGAAAATACGTCCTACTGAACCATGCAGTAATATTTGTTGTGTTATCATGAAATTAGCCAGAACTAATGAAGTGGAAATGGAACAGGCAAGTTGTGATCAGACATATATGACAATTTCTTCTGTCAAAAACGAGGAAATGGTTAGAAAAAATTCTTAACTTTTAACTCTAAAAAAAAAAGTTCTTAACTCAGCAGCTACCTTCATTCAATCGGCCTTTTCTCTCGATCTCATTCACTAATTATGATGTTTAAACTATATCACTAGAATGTGTAACTGATATGACATACACAGATATAACATACATGTTAACGCCTTGTGTTGAGTTTTTCAAATGTTTTAAAAAAGTGCTACTTTCAAAGAATAAATTCAGCAACTCTTCTTTTATTTTTCATTAGCAATATGAAATCTTGAGAGAGATTGAAGACATCAAAGAGAAAAGAAAATGCTACGTGAAAATGCGTCCTACTGAACCATGCTAAATGACATGCACTTAATTTTAAGCAAAAAGTATAAATACTGGATGATTAGACGAATGTGGAAAATAGCAGTTGCTTAACATGGAAAATTAATTAGTAGTGAATATCACTAAATACTTCAGTACTTCGCAAATTTTTTAATTTCTTTCATTAGTAATATGAAGTCTTATCAACAATAATAAAAACTTGTGGCTATGCTTTGATTAAGATTTAATCAGAAATTTACTCTGAAATTTGGACTGAGGCACAGTAAAAGTTTTATTAGCATTAAAATTGCTTAATTCAATCATCTGCTTTTGGGAAGTAAAGATAATTATAAGGATGTAAACAGATATATAAATAGAAAATTAGTTATTTAAATTGCAATTAGCCATATTCGAAGACATGAACTTTATATTAAGGTTGGCTGAGAAATTGGCTTAAACATCAATTAATCTTTCCAATTAATAAAATGTTTATGTAAGTGCGGGAGCTTCACAAATATAACTCAGTGCTCGTGTACGATTATCACAACTCGTATACACCATTTTCACGTCGGATGTTGCTCGTGTGTCTGCGAAAAATACGACACAGCAAACACCGGAGCAGAAAGTGTCTTCTTCTGGGTTTGGATATTTCAGATCAGTTTTGTCTAGCACGTCATAATGCTCACCGTTCTGCGAGATCAGTTCATATTCTCGACTTATCATGAAGCCAACTTGGATTGCTTGTCGATTAAACGATCGATGATTAAAATTTTTTATCATCTCTTTTACAAAGTTCATTTTCTCAGCAATGTGATCCAGCCCTGTTTTCAGTATTTACTACATATTTGTTTGTCTAAGAATTTATTTAAAAATGACTTCAGAATCAAAGAAGAAGGAGGAAATAATTTCAAGGTTGGGAACTGAGGGTTGGAATTGTTTATAAAATATAATCAGTGATTGCTATGATAATTTCTAAAACAATTTGATAAGACCTTTTCTATTTATGTTTATGCATTCTTTTATTATTATATATTTTTATGATTTATTGCTATAAAATCAAATTAGTGTAAATTGAAATGAATCGACTGTTTAGATCCTGATAAAAAATTAAACAAGGTAGTGCTTTATGAGGTTACATTTAACAACAAATACATAAATATGAATAGAAAAGGTCCTATCAAATTATTCCCAAATAAGAAATAAATGATTACTTTTTCTTTCAAAGTCTCAAGATTTATGGGGCATAACGAACCAATATCAAGCAGTTTGCCTTGATATTGTTGCCAGCAGTTAAACATGTATTCGTTACGTGTTCCACCGTATGCAATCTTACGATCTGGATCTATGTTCAAGAACTGAGGGAGACTAATAAGGTAGCACTCGTTAAGTGGTTCAAAATAATATGACTGGTCATCACCGCATTTCCATGTCCATTCCTCTGGTCGTTCATGCTTTCTATTAGATTTTGCTAGGGAAACTAAACCGATATTTTTATTTTCAGCAGGATGCTCTAATTCAGTATCATCCTTAATGACTTCTATTCCATTTACAGTACCAATTCTAATATTTTTTGCACTTAGTTCCACAATTTGTTCAGTAATTATTTGAAATAGTAAAATTATCTCATAGCAACCATTCATTCTCAAAATTATATTAGAAGTGGATTTTACGCATCATTTTATACAAATCTGTAACAAGTTATACTGAAATTTACATATTCTTGAACTTATTAGGAACATTTTCTTAAAAATTATGACTCGAATTAAGAGTAATTGACTTTGGAAATAGGAAATTAGTATTTCTACCAGACTAATTTGAACCAATATTGGGAGTAGCTATTTTTAAGACACTGTAAATTTAATAATTTCTTAGTTTTCTTTGCTTTATCGAATCGCCGGCTAATCTTCAGCTTTTTAAATAATGCATTTTGAAAGAAGTCGAACATCGAATGAGAAACAACATAACTAATCGCATAAAACAGTTTCATGCTACAGTTTTGCTAATAAAAAATTGTCTTTGACAGAGTTTTTTATTCCAAAATATTGAAAAGAAGAAAAAAGAAGACAAATATAAAAAATTTATACAAGAAAATAGCTTTCCTCTTATTGTATAAAAATTTTTTCACTTCGAAATGAATAAAGTACAATATTTTATTAAAAACTTCAATGTTTTGGGATGAAAATTTAAATTTTTGCTGTTTTCGGAAATTCAATGGTTTTTTTTTTATTTAAAGAAAATCAGTAGTAATAATTTTGAAGAGAATAATTCGTGAGCAAATCAAGTACCACTGGTAGCAATAACATTTGTAACACTAACAAATCCCATGTTATTTCAAAGCTCTTTAAAAAAATTTTTTTTTTACTTTAAAACCATTCTTTTATCTGTAATTTCAAATCATCACTCACTTCATTCAATTATATGCCAATGCCATTTTCATTTTCATGCGTATAAAACTTTCTTGAAATCCTGCAGTCTTATAGAAGCAGAAAAGTGCAACAGTAAAGTCTGTTAAAACATTTTGCAAGAGCGAATTTTGTACTGATACTGGTTTAAGAATCGAGCTTCAATTTATGATCAGATTTTTTTTTTTTTTAATATTAATTTCATGAGGATGGTGAGAAATTCTATTGAAGTATTGAAGTCATGAAGTTAGTCAAACAGTTTAGTTTGGCTATTCCAGGCTCATTTTTAAATATTATATCTAACATCTGAATAATTAAATATGCTTCCAAATAAAAAATTAAAAAACAGACTATAAATTACAATTCTTTATATATTCTCTCAATTCATAATTTTTGTGAAAATAAACACATTTGATTACATCTCGAAACATAATAAAATAGCAAAAATTAAGCATCTACCTACAGTGCTTCATTTTGTGATGAATGGACAAAAGAGGACAGAGATATAATGCTGTGGTAAGAAATGTAATAAGTCTTACTGGAAGTCTATCAGGAGACTATGACAACTCTGTTAAAAAGTTTATGATTCAATTAAAATGACTATCGTCATTCCTTATCTAAGCTTAATGAAATATTTTGATAAGCGTTTTTTAAATGCTAAAACAAGAATTATGCTAATTTATCAAAGATAACACAAATATGTAAATAAAACCAGCGTACGCTTACTTTACAGTTATAGATCTGACTGCAAATTTTGAAGTTATTTATTGCAGGAAATATATAGCAAGTAACGTTGAGGTTAGGTCTGCATTCCTTGTACTTTCACTTATACTTTGAAATGCAATTTTAAATCTTTTGTAAAAAAAAAAAAAAAAAAAAAAAAAAACACGGGGATCGGTTTCGATTTACAGAAACAAATTCAGGAATTTAAGTGGAACAAATTTTATTTGTAATATTTATTAAAAGAGATGGATATGCATGTCAAATTAAATTAATAGTCCTTTAATATTCGTTCCTTTTTTTTACGTGTAATAAGACTGTCGTAATCCTTGAGGAAATCTATTGCATGTTGATCTCTAGATAACAATCCTTCTTCAATTAGTAATTCAACCATCATACGGTAAATGAAGAGGTATTGCTGTAAATAAATTTGTTAAACTATTGACCAAGTTTAACTTGAGTAATATAAATTTTTTCATATATACATATAATTTATTTTTCTTTTAATAATTAAATTCATATATATATATAAATGAACTTAATTATTCAAATGAATTATTAACAAGTGTAAGAGAGGATTAGTTCACCAGATCATTTTGTACTGCATGCAAGCGTTGTTCCCGCAGCTTTTTGGTTACATCTACAACAATACAAGTTTCATTGTTGCGTAGTTTTGCCATCGCCAATTCAACAGCAACAAAAGTCCCGGTCCTCAAATATGACACTTTTTTTGATTGATATTCACAACCTCGTTTTTTATATAAAATGAAAAATTCTTAAAATAGTCATAATGTGATTAAAAAATTTAATAGAACCTTCCAATGCCAGCACTGCAATGGACGATTATTGGTTTTTTCCCGTAGTATTTATGCAACATACTATAGATTTCGCGACAAGTGGAGGCCGAATCAGGAACAAAGTGATCTGGCCATCCTGCATAAGCAATGTGCACTACCTATCAAAATTAATTTGTCAAAAACTTTTGATTTAAAAAACTATTATCTTCCGTGTGCTTCTCTGTTATTTAGCGCTAATGACAAAAAATACCTGATAATCAACAAACTCATCGCAACTGTTCTCTATTAAACAGGAAAATTTCCGCTGCTTAATTGTCGATTCAACGAATCATAAAGAAAGTGATGATCGAAATCAAAAGGCATAAATTTAAATGAGGGAATGAATTCTAACAAAATGCACATAATTTTGTTCACATTGTTTCGTGATCTGTCAGATTTTGATAAGTCGAAAAATATACGTAGTCCAAACCTCTTGTATTTTATCAGAATATGAAGCTTCTATTTTTGTCCGAGTTACTTTTTTAAGCGTAACAATACCAGAAGTTGGTTC